TTATTTATTCTCTGAAGAAGTGACTTACACCAAGTCACGAAGCGTCAAAAAATCTAATTCTTCTACTCATTGGGATATTACAAATATATTATTTATGAAGGAATTTGTATTTTTATTGTCTCATAATCAGCTATAGTGATTTCATGGCCACATCGTTCTCCAACAAATTCAACCCCCTGATATGAAGACGATGTCTAGATCATCACTGATCTGAAATCCTCCTTACCCGCTGAAGCCAATCACTCCGTCCATGGATTACAAATCATCTACAAATTTTCATAAGAACGATTGCATATTATCCGGCATGAATTTAACACGTATTCAGTTTGTAGTGACATTGGACCATAACCACACAATCCTCAAAGCTGAATGCGAGACTACTCAGAAGACAAATATTCAATATTTGACGCGGAGAAATACCCAACGATGGAGAAGGCGGTAACAATGTATGGAATTAATTGGAGTTGATCGTATGGCATGGCTCGGCCATGCACGCGTGGTCCCCGCTGAATGTTACCTTATATCCTTTATTCATATTAAATATATTGCTCCACCTCTAGCTCGAGATTGTTCTCTATCATGTATTGATAATTGTTACGATGTAGTGAGTTGGTGTAGACGATGATGTGACTTCCACATAAGATCTTGTAGATTAGGTAGTTACATCATAACAAATCTACAATTTTAGGATTAAGTGTATTATTAGAGCAGTACTAATATCATAGTAGACCCAGAATTTTACAAGTTTATCGTGGAATTATACAGAACATTGGCTGGCAATTCATAATCTAAGACCATAAATGTCACCTCGAACTTAGGATACAAACGGTTTGTTAAGTATTCCTAAACCTTGTGCTCCGAGTTTTTGTAAATAACTTATAATGGTTATTATTTCTGCCAGGGCAGGTACACGTCACTTTTACGGGCATGATTTAAGAATTGCAATACTAGTTTGCTTACAGTATACTCCACAAGTAGGGTCGTTAAATAGATGAAATCACTAAAAGTACGTTCGTGCAGATATCTTGGAGCGTTATTGATTAGGTTTTTGCTCTAGTATTACACGGGGTACAGTCTTCAAGATATTTTCCAAAGTGGCATCGCGTCCACATTACACGCTTGATCCAAGATCGACATAATTGAGTCAGAATTCTGGTCGTGATAAGTATTTATGCAATACAACTTTTTAAGCTTATAGTTTTTATAAAGTACATTTGTAGAGCGCTTGGTGTGAATTATGACCTTCAGAAAACGCGTACGTCAAGTTTGTTCCAAGTGTCAGAAGCTCCATAGCTGCGCTCTCAGAGCAAGATTCTGGAAAAGAGAAACAAACGAGCAACAAGGCACTTGGATATGAACGCTAAACAACGCTTAACATTTTGTAGTGGATCAGGCAAGGGTATGATAAAGTAGTAGACTAAACTCATGCTAGCTCTTGTTGCTAGAGCGAAATGTGATTAGAGCCTCCAGATGAGAGAATGCAGTAACAAAGCAAAAAGAGTTATGATATATGGCAAGGTGAAGCAGATTCAAATAATCGGAGGGAAGTCGCAGTTAGAATAAGGAAGGCTGTTTATTAGAACGGATAATTAATCAAGAGAGACAAGTGTAAAGAAAACTAATAACTATATCTTTTATCGTCTGATTTTCTAAGTCTTTTTCATCTGAAGCCAGTCACACAGTTCTAGTGTAAATGTCCGAGTTAGCATGTTATAGGTTGTCTTAGTAGAATAGCTAATCCAGCATAAAATTGAAAACATGAGTGTGAATGGTGAGTATAGGAGAACGATCTAAATATCATAAACTAATTGACCTTTTCTCAACCACAACGAGTCTGATGCAAGCAAAACGTTCCGCCCCACAAACATGGGTAGATTGAAGTAATCGCCCTCACCAACAATGTTTGCTGGTTAGTAACCCCATCCTCCTTCCTTTTGTGACGTTAGGCTCATTTAAGTTTATTCTTAGATATATTTCATACCTCACATGATGCTCTGTGCTTCACATACCTCTAAAAAACAGTATTTCTATAAGTACCATTTTACAAGCTTCCCAGGCAGTTACAAATTGTAGGTTGTGGGTAAGGTGTCGACGCAATGCTGTAACTAACTAAAGTATCAAGTGTAGGTTGCCGATCAAAGTATAGGTATTAGGAAGGGTTTAATTTAGGATGGTTTTTTGCCGAAGTATGCGGAAAACTACAGGAATATATGGGTTGTAGGTAAGGTAACGAGCAGTGAAATAAAAACAATGGTAATTCAACATATTGTATAGGACAGTAGAAAGCTGATGAAAAACATACTAGGAGGAACTCACATTAACTTGGTGCTGATGTTATTTTGTGCTATCCTAACCGGCAGATGGGTTACAGGCTTCATAGATGCAAGACCACTGGAAGAAGGCGGTTGATTATGTGGTTCTCTTAACATTTTAGGGTAGTAGAGAGTGTCTCTTAGCTACCGAATTTAGTTGAGCAGTATCGACAGGTTCAGTGAGTTACCTGTCTACTTTAAGTAAAAAATTTCGGGGGTGAAAATATCTAATACAAATCCAAAGTAGGAAAATAAGGCAAAATGAACTTAGAGTTTAATTTGGTCTATACACATAGGGAGCCCATGATGTCTGAGTGGGACTCGAATGTGTTCGTTTGTGCTAGATCTGTGCAAGTTAGGGCTCGATCGATAAGTCTTACAAACGTATGTAATTCATCTGGCATGTGTATTTCAGAGGGAAGATTGCTCCATATTAATGCATACCTGATGAGGAAGAAGTTTTCCCGGGTTTTTGATCTGTATTTTTCAAATTTCACCGGTGATACTTTATCTTGGAGGTCGTATTCATGTGAGTCTCGGACAAGAAATATATTACATGTGGAGTAAGTTAGGTTTTTGAGGAGTTGGAAGGGGATAATCAAATTGAGCCTAAGCCTTATTTTTCAATAGAATTTTAGTCTTAAAATATGGCATCGGAAACCGTAGTCAATAAGTGAGTCTGTTTTAAGTATTTTGAGGGTGAAATGCCGCTGTATTACTTCAACCTTCAGTATATCGGATTGGCATGGGTTGGAAAATAAGAACGAACAATATTCAACGATAGGTCTTACACATACCATGTAAGGAAGGATTTCAGATTCATTTTGAAAGAAGTCACAAAGAATGGAATCAAATATTTGAAGTTTGACGACACCTTAACCAATAACACCTTTTATGATCGAAATATACCAAGCCAGCCAGATCAGAAGTCAAAAGCGAAAAGGTTCAAAAATATATTTGACAGGCTATCGATATATCAAGAAGTGATCGATCGAAGCTGGCCAGCGGTTGTAGGAGAAATGAAGCACGGCGTACCCACTCGTGATCAGGTGCGGATGCCTGGCCGGGTCCCTCCAGACAGGTGAGTTCATTAAAACTAACGCGGTTGGCATCAAATGTCGAAGACTGACAGAGCTATTTATTTTGGAGATTTACTTACTGCTTCACAACGAAAGTATACTTGAATCAAGTGTCACTTAACGGGCAACTTCCTATATGTATATAGCGAGTATGTATTGTGTAAAACATATAAGAATATATTTTCCATGGGTGCTGGAGTTTATCCAACGGTGTTTCGAATCGCGCCTGACTCATGAACTGTTTGCTCAGTATGATACGCTTAAACGCATATATCAGGTCTACCGATGTATTTCTCAAACAAGAAGCACAACAAACGGGACTGCGTTAGTAGAAAACAATACAAAAAATTGATTTTTGAGGAAAAATTGTATTAGCTACAGTGCAAAAATTATGGTTAACATCTATGCAAGACGACAATAGTTGTAAACCAACCTATTGTCAGTCACCCCTTTAACTGATGTATTACACAGATCATCAATTTTTAGAATGGTGTGTGGCTATTTCCAGTCAGATTATTTACTTGCCGGATATAAAATACCCTCAAACAAAATTATTCAACTGATGTTTTTCAGAAAATGTTACACCGTTCCAACTAACTTGAGGTTTACACTAAAAAAATGACAAAAAATATAGTTTATGTTGTTGATTTTTAGACGTCAACAAACTGCGTGAATATACTAACACCTGGGAACCATGCTAGTATACACGTACGCAACCGAATTTCAGCACTTCAAATCCGGAATGCCGGCGTCATTCAGGACGTTCAAGATCGTGGCAAAGAAAGCGCGGTCTACTTTGAAAGTGTCGCGGGTGTGGTAGGTGAACTTGTTATAACTGTTTAGTAATATTCTTGGTTCGTATGAGACGCTAAGAATGACTTCTTTTATGGTTGGCCACCATTTTATGGATATGTACCATGTAGTTTTAAGTTTTTATGGTTCCATAGAGAGTAACTTGAGATGGCGGTATCGTACTGGAACCATCATATCGCCCACAGTCTACAGTAATAGATCACTAATGCGTTTCAGTATTAATAACACTATTCGGCAGGTACACTTTCTGCCTGTGCATTAGGTAGCGCAGTTTTGTAAAAGCCAGAGAAGCTTTCTGAATATATTCTGAGGTTTTGTCGGGCACCAATCCTCCATGGATGGTATGACTCCAACTACAATTCAGTTATTCAACATGATCATCTGCTTTACTCTTTATGATTAAACTTAGACTAATTCCGAAGCAAGCTCTTGCTCTTGCTGGAAAATGCTTCCCAGCATTTCTTGCATTATTATTTAGGTCATTCTATAGGTTATATTGTATATGTGTCCCCGTCAAATAAAACTGATACTGTGTCAACAAATCTGCAATAAGTAGACCGACCCCCTAGGCCAAACAAAAAAAGGAATACTATCGGATCGACTGTTATGATGATTTTAAGTAGAAATCGTGGACGTGAACAGCTTTAATGAACACCATCGGATCCAACGAACTTTTGTTGGAATTCACCGTAGTCTTTTACTTTGTTAACAGTATTCAGCTAAAGGGCCTTTATGGGCTTTGATGATTTCCGACACGATTTGCAATGACAAACATCACAAAACTCTATTGTTGGGAGTTGAATCCCGCTATCATTTTGGGAAATATAGCTGCAATTGAGTGCCTGTTCTAAATTTTTTTTTAATGGATAAATTTTTCATCAGTCCATCAATTGCGTAGTTTGGCTTTCGCCAGTTTCCTGTTCTCGAGCTCTATGGAAGGGTCGGGTGGTTGTATGAACCAAGAGTGTGAAGTATTTTAGTAAGATTAATTATTGTGCTTATCACATGAGGACTTCTTTTCTTATTGTCTCGAACAATCAGAGATCGAGATAAATAAATTGCATGCAGTTCCTGATTTTCACTTAATACCTTGTCAATGTCGGTCATTGGCAGATCACCCATCATCCATAATAATCTCTAGAATTAATCCAGCTCCTACCGCATCCAGAAAAATCTATTGTTACACGGAAAACTAACAGGTGTGTCATAACAAAGTGCCCAATACAGTCAAACCAAAAGCTGCTTTTCTTACACTACTAGTTTGCTTTGATAAGTTTGACCTTGTACTTACAACCATCAATTTCTGAAATCTCTATCAATACATTAATCATATCCTAATCCTTTATCGACACGGAGACACCACAAGTTTATAAACGTCGCTGGTAGCTTACTTCCTATCGAAACTTCCTCTTGTTTGGTTTTGAAATGTGCCCGTAGAAAGTCTAGTGCTATGAAAACTTTATTCAGATATTTTCGTAATGTGGTCATATAGCTATCAATAATTATCGCTTTAAGCTAGCTAAGGGTGAATAAAGCCACTTGGTCTCATCTCTACCGTCTATGTTTATTTATTCATTTGAACACAAATTTTGGTACAAGGGGGCACCAAATATATGTGCCACGCAAAACAATGAGAATTTAAAGAGAAGGGAAAAAAGGAGGGTAAGAAGCGTGAAAAAAGAACAATAACGAACAGATTAGTGTAAGGTAGTGTAATAATAATAATGGGGGAAACGAAAAGCTACAACCAGGAGAAATCTTCCAGTTAAGGTGGAAACAACCAACGAAGAAAGTAAAAGAAGGTTACAGCAGGATCGCCACTGGCTTCTATTCTGAGCTATATCTGATAACGTTTCTAGCCACTGTGTTACACCATCTCTCGGACCCCACCTAGGGAGTCGTGAAGGACCAACACAAGCCAGCCCTTTGCAGCTTTCTTTCATACCACGACACCATGTCATATACTGTCCACCTCCGCTTTTCCCAACCAGTCCCAGAGTCGGCAAATAATGCACGACGAGCAATTCTCGGAGACGACATTCGTAGAACATGTCCAAGCCACCGAAGTCGGTGTTTCAAGATTGTGACACCAACTTCACTATCGTCTCTGTGCCCGAACACACGATGCCGAACCTCTGCATTGCTAACATGGTGTTGCCACTGGATGTCTGCCATCCTTCGGAGAGAGCGATGATCGAACACAGTCGTCTAACGTCCTCAACTTGGAGGCCAGGTTTTACAAGCATAAAGCAGAACTGCTCTATTATTATTATTATCATTACTATTATTATTATTATTATTATTATTATTATTATTATTATTTACCATCTATGACAGTTTTAAGACTGCGAAAGAACAATCACAGTTTTAGTGCTTCTTGGTTGTTAATGTATTAACTCAAACTTGGACTTATCTAGTTGACTAGATTGTTCCATCTACTAAACTAAGTTTAGTTCACTGTATCAAATAGTGACTGGATTCGACACCAAGTATTTATGGTTTGAATTGTCTTCATATACTTTTCGAATTCGACTAAGAAACAGGAAATTAATTAGCAGATATTTGATAATTTATCCTATTTCTTCTACCATTTATTTGGCATATAAGAAGGAAGATTGAGTACTAAATAATTGTTGGAAAAGCAAAAGTGAACAGCTCATATCTGTGTCTAACCTCTGTTTACCATGGTTTCATATTTATTGGAGCCAATTTAAAATGATAGACCTATAGTCTTAAATAGCTTTTAATTGACTTCGTCACTTTCAAACAGTCTTGGTCAATCCAGATAATTTTGTTAGTAACCTGTACAAAACATCTATGGAACAGATCACGTTGCATACATTCGAACTCATGTCCGTGTCAATTTCCATTCTGACGATGACTGAGCACACTATAAATTCAAAAAATATTTCACACTGGTGCGATTGAATATAAAAATAATTTTGCCGGTTCAGCTACTACTAGATAGTTTGATCTCTTCATACTACTACGCAGTTTGACGCATGTTTATATCATGCTTTTTATGGTTTACTTCCACTTCAAATATATTAAAATATTTTGTACTTCGCCATATTAACCTTCACAATCCGTGTTTCATAATCTAAAGTCAGTTTCTAGCTCTAAATTTGCTTTTCAAGATTAAGACTGTTTAGCTAAAGAAAATATAGGGTACCCCTGTCTATCTGTCTGATGATTTATTAACAGTTTACCACTGTGAAGTATTTATAAAGAATCGTTGCCTTGTTTCGTCAGGTTTATTGTCGTCCACCTGGTGTCTGATAAGTGATAAGTACATGTGGCCAAAGGCACTAGCTAGTAATTCAAACTCGATAGCAGTGCTGTAGTAAATAGAACACAGGTGGGGAACAATCGAATGTATTTGACAACAAATTACAAAACTTGTTTATAAAACCTAACAACCATATAGTAAATGCTCAATTTACAAAATGTCCATCAATGGTCTTAAATTGACTCAGACTTCCTTTGTTTTTGCATTTTCATACAAATTGCATTCTGTTTCCTCTTATCTCTCTGTTGCCAGACATTCTGTCCACGACTAACGTCATACACTACTTATGTCAATATAAGTAGCACAACACAGTGCATAGGTTTCTCCACCGTACTGTATTGTTTTGCTGTAGTTATGACTCTTTCCCGACTGTAGCTGCTACCTTGACGTGTTAGTCGGGCTTCCTATCTTGATGACTCAATTGAGCTATATTAGCTGAAACACATGTTCCTTTAAGTCCTGCCATCCCGGGAAGACCGGTTAGAGAACGGTAAGACTATTAACGGCAACTCAAGGCCCAAGGTTGAAGTCGTACCGCTGGCTGTAGAAGAAAGTAACAACAGTAAGTTTTTTCCCTCGGACAACCAACATCTTTAGCGAGGTTGCCTTTTTACAACGGATGAAAGGGGTTAGAAAAGGCTGACTTTAAAATTGTCACACCCCATGGATTTCCGTCTCCGGCGACAAGGACTTTTAAAGCGCGGAGCTAACACATCAAAAACTTCCCTAAAATGTCCGTACATGACCAGCCTCAAGCAGTCGTCCCTTGGGTTCTGCGGTGACTCCATCGAGTCTCTAAGACCATCACTAATTCAACCGTATTTTCAGGTCCCTTATGAAGAAATATCCTCCCACGGTGTAGGCAACCAGAAAGTGACAATCGCTATCATACCTGCCGAGATCATCTTATCGGCAATCAAATCCCTCCCTCACCTCTGAATATTTATTCTATCCCCACGACTAACCCTTCTTATTTATCTTTATTACCAAGCTCCACCAGTGCTAATGACTTAAGTTTACGAATTTTAATTTCCGGTCTACTGGAACCACGCTCCTAACTACATCTTGAAGCTCTTAATGTTCGAACCTTGTCAGATAGGAAAACAGGCTTCTTTATCCAAGACTCTAGAATCTCGAGCCATCGATGTATGCTGCGTCTCCCAAACCTGCTTACAGGATATGAGTACAGTCATTCATTTGATCTCATCTTCTCAATTTAAAGAACCGGCACAAATTACCCTTCCAGTATCTAGAGACCCCACTGCTGATCCTTGCGGCCTCACCTGTGTAGGTATAGCAGAACAGGATTTGTTAGACTGGATTCCAATACAGTCTCCTGTGCACTGTTCTACTAAACGGAACAGTAAGAACACTGAAAGATAGTGACACAGGCTGTTGCCTTTTCGTTGTCTCTACTTACGCTCCCACTGACTGCAGCTCAAATAAAATTTGTAGGAAGCTATCTAACCTACTTCAAAAAGCTAAACGCTGTGATGTAGTAATAATGACAGGTAATTTTAATGTTCAAGTAGGATGGGATGAGTTTACGAGAATCCATCGGTGCAATAGACTTAGTAGGAATGCATTGGTTTTTCGTAACCCTTTGGTTTATATCGCTAAAAAATATCACTGCTGTTTTCACAGCCGTCACCGTGATTTTGTACCGGCGCAAGACGGTTGTGTGACTCAGGCATCCGATGAAAGGTTTAATCTTAACTGATCTTTCGACATGTTAAAAATTAAACAACCTGAATAAATCTAGTAATAGATACTGTTTCGAGAAAGTCAATAGTAATAAGAGCTATTTTGTCTGAATACACATATATCAAAATCACGTTGTACTCGTTGCAACAATGAAAGTCGTAAGGACATAGTTATGGTTAGTTTTTTTCACTATACATTGCTCAGTGTCTGCTTTTTTCTAACGTATAAAATCATAAAATAGTCTTACATATGAGGCTTCTTAATTCTTGATTATTCTATAGTTCCGGTTCTTATTTACTGCCTAATGTCATCACTTCCAAAGAGGATAATCAAAGTATGTTAACAACGTATAACTTAATGTAATGAACTGTAGGAAACTCAAAAACTTATCCAGGATCCATGTGATGGCATAAAAGCCGTACCAGATGAAAACAACGCAAGGTACTTTTTGGTATCCATAGATGGACCAAAAGATAGCGCTTACGAAGGAGGTATTTTCGACTTGGAATTATTCCTTCCGGAAGAATACCCTATGACTGCACCTAAGGTCCGGTTTACAACCAAATTATATCATCCAAATATTGATCGCCTTGGTAGAATTTGTCTTGATATTCTTAAAGGTAAGCTAATGTATAATAATATTTCGTTTATATTTTGATTCTGTAATTAACTCTCCTATCGCATCTTATTTGCCAAAAGTAACTTTCTTTACATCTAAGAAACAGGTTTTATTTTGTCCGTCTCAGTATATATATGGTTTTCAAAACCCAAGTTCTGTGAACTAATTGTTTCGTCGCCACGTGCTCCCAACAATAGCTTTTCCTTGATGTCGTGGTTGGGCTTGCCTTTTGTAATGACCCAGTCAAGCTATATTGGTTGGAACACTTGTTGCCTTAGTTTCTACTATGCCGAGCAGGGCAGTTGAATGGTATTGTTGAAAGTAGCAGCTTAAGGTCTAAGGGTGAAATCGCACTTCTAACTGTACTGGGGTGTAGTGGCAGTAAGGTATTTTCCATATAACAGTCACATCGTAAAAGTGATCACTCTGTACGTCATTCAGTCAGTGTCTTTACTGACTAAATCGTCTTCATTTGTCCAATCCTGAAAGAAATGAATCCCCAGATGTCTCTAGTCAGTCATATATTTTGAAAGTAACACCACTCTATTGGCTGAATATCTCAATTTACGATAATAGAATGAATGAAACTAATTTTTATATAAACAAATCATATTAATCAACATTTAGTAGAAAAATGTCTCTGAATTTCAAACAAGTGATCATATCGTTATCAGATTTTTGTTTTTTGCACTAATGCACTCTTTCATAAGAAAGTAATAAGCGTTTAATATGTAAATAATTATCATCCTATATAACAATGCTACAAGGCTAAATATCACAAAATAAACATGTTTATAAACTTTTTCTAGGACATGAAATCTCTCTTTGGTATCATTTCCCATCTGGCCCTCATCAGTTGAATCCTATTTTTAATCGTTATAAGTCAATTACCAACTTGATTCTGTATCATTACAATAGTCTGTTGACGTCTGTGGATTGTGTTGTCGATGATAATCCACCCATCTGTTACCTTTCAACCATTGATCACAGTCCATCACCCGATATTAGTGTAGTTGTAAAATGTAATAACCGAATTTAGGTAATATTTAATTACCTCTTGCGAGATATCTTTCTTATAGTTATGCACTGTACAATTGCAGGTAAGTTGCGTAAAAAATCACACTAGTTTTCCACTTCAAATTATAGATGAAATCATTTAAGGTAGCCCGTATTTGCAATAGCCTTATATATTCCTAAGTTATTAAAATAGAACAGCGATAAAATATACTCATGAACACATCAAACAAATTCAAGACTTTCTTGCCGAACACCATTTACTAACTGATAAATTTATTAATTGCTGATTTCAAAACAACAAAGCAGTCACCGGCTACCATGGGACTACATCTTCTTACGTTGCTCCACTGTCTTGTAGATTTTATTTATTTTATTTATTTATTTATTTATTTATTTATTTATTTATTTATTTATTTATTTATTTATTTATTTATTTATTTTAACACATAAGTATAGGTACAGGGAGGCACCAAATACATATGCGCCACACGAATCTCAATTGATTTGTGTGAGGGCTGTGATACTGCCTGGGTGCCCAAACCGAAGCAGGTGGTTTTCTTAGGGGGCCACACCCCGAGCCTTTGACCTGAACATCTGATCCACAAGGCAGTGGAGCATCGTAAGGAGATGCAGTCCCATGGTAGCCGGTGACCAACGATTGGTTCATACGCCATTTGTTCCTTCAGGATACTGGAGCCCATGTGCACCATTGGTTTGGGGTCCGGTTAAAGCGCCGGACATTCGCTTTTCGTCCTCTCATTTTTGTAAACAACACCCCCGCCACGAGAAGGCAGTGATTAGGACTTCCCTGGCAGAGGCTATATACGCATGGCCATGTGAGAGCATTTCGAGAGGGAGAGTGGACTCTCCCCACTCTCGGCCGTACCAGGGCATTAGACCTTTAGGTCAAAGGCTCTGGGTGTGGCCCCCTAAGAAGGTGACCTGCTTCTGTTTGGGCACCCGGGCAGTATCCAATCCCTCACATAAATCGAATGATTTATGTGGCACATATCTGTTTGGTGCCAATGTTTATGTGTTAAAATAAATAAATAATTTTACTACGTAATATAACCATACGTAACCTAGTTGTTCTGAAAACTGTCGACATATTAGTCAGTCAGTCATAAGCAATGTTTCACCATTGGTCACGATAATCAGAGGTATCCCAATCAAGTAGTATACGCCTACTAGTTTAATATTCATAATGGTAATTTGACCCATTTGTGCCAATATGGTGTAGCAACCTAAGGAGATTCACATATGTACCTGCTTCGACATGGCGTATGGTGGACCAACTGTATCTTTTAAGTCTTGATCTCAATGTCATTCCACATTTATAATCTTTCCATTTTATTTGTTCCTTTCAAGCCTTATCAGCTATGTTTAACCATCTACTGCGGTTACTATTTTCCTTATTCTTTGCTTCTCATCCTGTTTAATTTCTTCGCTCTCTATACTAATTTAATCTGTGGTAAAACTTGATACAATACATTCTTATTAAGTCCAATGTTGTCTATAATTGATTTATATAAATATCGGCACCGAGTTGTACCTTTTCTAATTTTTCCTCTATTTATCCAGATAAATGGAGTCCTGCTCTTCAAATACGCACTGTTTTACTTTCTATTCAAGCATTGTTAAGTGCACCAAATCCTGAAGATCCACTGGACGGTGAAGTTGCATCACATTGGAAACAGAATGAACCAGAAGCTCTTGCTAAAGGTCGGCTTATGTGAGATATTAACAAGCCTTTGTTATTTAGACTATTTTGAATGGTGGCCACTAAATTACTAAGCCAATAAGTCTCAATTTCGAATTTCGCTCCAGTTACCTTAGTTTAATCAGTTGGGTAGTATTGATAGCTATCGACATTTAGAGTATGACTTAAAATCAGGTACACGAATTTGTATCTGGTAAATAAGTTTATAAAATAATTACGATAAATAAAAAAGATTCATATAATAACGGTCAAGAGAATATGATCATTTTTAACAATGTTTTGGTGTGCTATCACTAACCAACTAATGATTTATACCACTTATCATCAAAATAGCTAACTCAATCGAGCTAACTACCGACATAAATTAGTTCATCATTTCTCTTTTTTTTGTATGTGGGCTGTGATACTACCCGAATGCCCAGACCGAAGCAGGTAGTTTTCTTTGGGGGCCACAACCTTAGCCTTTGACCTGAAGGTCTAACCCACAAGGCAGTGAAGCATCGTGAGGAGATGCAGTCCCATGGTAGCTGGTGACCAAGAAATTGGTTCATACGCCATTTATTCCCGCAGGATACTGGAGTCCATGTGCACCATTGGTTTGGGATCCGGTTAAAGCGCCGGACATTCGCTTTTCGTCCTCTCATTTTCATAAACAACACCCCCGCCACGAGAAGGCAGTGAGTAGGACTTCCCTGGCAGAGGCTATATACGCGTGGCCATGTGAGAATATTTCGAGAGGGAGGGCGAGCCCATCCCTCTCTCGGACATACCAGGGCATTTGGGGGAAATGATGAACTGTCTATTTATGGAAAATATTCTTCTTGCTCCGAATAACAATCAAATGACTCACATTATTATTATTACTATCATTATTGATATTATTATTATTATTATTATTATTATTATTTACTAGGTCGTTTATTCACCTTCTTTTATTCCCACTCTGTGTATACTTATTTTTCGACTTATACAGCAGCTCGCCTATGGTGGAAATTTGGCTCTATCTAAACGCTCTCGAATCACTGCCTGGTTGAAAATTGTATGCTACCGCCGAATACGAATACTAAAGCAGTTTTTCTGAAACCACGTGCACCATTCAAACTGGCTGCCTTTAACGTCCGTACACTTATGCAGGTCGGACAACAGATAGGGCTGGCTATGTCTTTGGAAAGTCTTAATATTGACGTGTGTTGTCTATCCGAGACCCGTATTCAAGACTCTGGTGAAGTACTACAAATTCGCTCTCCATCTGTCGCTTCAAAAAGCTTGTTTTACGTGCGTTTATCCGGGACCCTGTGGCATCTTCGTCTGGTCTTGCTGGCGTTGGTGTCGCACTAAGCGCTAGAGCTGAGGCAGCACTAAGCGACTGAATCCCCATTAACAGTCGGTTATGTGCTGTTAGATTAGAAAGTACCATCAAAGTGAGAAGAAATCGGCGTGAGAAACGATGTCTTTTCGTCATCTCCGCCTATGCCCCGACAGATTGCAACCCTGATGCAATCAAGGACGAATTCTACCACCAGTTATCTGTTCTTCTCCAGAAAGTGCATCCCACAGATATTGTAGTACTAGCCGGAGACTTGAATGCTCAGGTCGAGCGTCTAGGCACAGAAGAGAATCGTTTACGTGGCCGATGGGGACTTGTTGGTCGCAGGACAGATAGCGGGGAACGTCTACTGCAGCTATGCACAGACCACAACCTGTATCTGGCTAGCACTAACTTCCGGCACTGTCATCGCCGATATGCCACCTGGCGTCCTCCCTCTACGTCTCAATCCTTGACTCAGATTGATCACATCGCGATCAGCTACCGCTGGCGTGGTTGTGCACAAGACTGCCGCTCCTTTTGTAGTACCTATCTGGACTCTGATCATACCCTGGTCTGCGCCAATCTTACCTTACTTTTCAGTGGCCAACGAAATCATCGTCCTAAACGGATTGACGTCAGTAAACTGACTGCAGCTTCTGTTGCAACTAAGTATCAAACCGAGCTAGGTTCTAGGCTAGCTACTATCCCATCGAAAGGTAAAGATGAGCATTGGTTGCAACTGCATGACGCCATGAAAATGACTAATATAGTATCTAAAATACTAGTCTCGATAATTATCGGACGCCTAACTAAGACTCGTGAACTACAAATACGAGAGAACCAAGCTGACTTCAGACCTGGTCGTTGATGCATAGACCACATATTCACCATTCGTCAGGTTCTGGAACACAGGCATACTTATCGGCGTCCGACAATGGTGGTCTTCCTTGACTTAAAAGCAGCATTTGACTCTGTAGACCGAGAGGTTCTGTGGCAGTGTCTGTCATTGAAAGGCGTACCTCAGAAGTACATAAACCTTGTGAAGGCTATTTACTCGAACACTACCAGTCGAGTCAGAGCTTATGGCGAACTTTCATCTGCTTTTGCAACCTCAAGTGGCGTCCGTCAAGGCTGTCCATTTTCTCCATTTTTGTTTAACTTCATCATAGATCTACTGATGGAAATAACGCTCTCATCGACGATGGGCAGAGTTCTTCGAAGGGCAGTTCAGTTCAACTGGCCTGCTGCTCAGGCAACATCGATCAGACTGTCCTGCCCTACATGGCCGGTGACCAAATGAGGCGAAAGTCCGCAAGGAACTCCAACTCTTGAAACGCTACAAATCACTGGGCCCAGATGACTTACCTCCGGCTCTTTTTAAAGATGGTGGTGACTTTCTGACTAAGGGACTGACAACGTTGTTTACAAAGATCTGGGAACTAGAGAGTGTACCGACGTCATGGAATGAGTTGATAGTTGTCCCTATCTTTAAAAAGGGTTCACGTTGTTCCTGTAACAACTATCGGGGGATCAGTCTACTTCTGATTGCGTCCAAGCTATTGGCTTCCGTCATACTTCGTAGGTTGTTCAGAACCCGAGAAGGATTGACTCACGAGGAGCAGGCTGGTTTTCGTTCCGGTCGACGATGTATTGGTCATATCTTCACCATCCACCAAATGTTAGAACACCGTCATACTTATCAAAGGCCAACAATCGTAGTGTTTCTTGACATTAAGTTTGCCTTCGATTCGTTGGACAGGACTGTTCTCTGTGATTGTCTATTGAAGAAGGGTGTGCCTGAGAAGCTTATTAACATCTTAAAGGCCCTATATGCAAACACCTCAGGCAGAGTGAGGGCATACAACCACCTTTCGCCACTGTTCCATTCAAGCAGTGGGGTTAGGCAGGGTTGCCCAACATCACCATTCCTCTCCAACTTTGCCATCGATGACGTTCTGGAAACAGCTCTGATGGATGCAAGTAATGGTGGTGTGGATCTGCTGCCTGGAGAAAGACTACTCGACCTTGAGTATGCGGATGATATTGTCGTACTGTGCGATAATACACAAGCCACTCAAATCCGCACTTAATCAGTTGGCAATCAATGTTCGTAGGTATGGTATGTGCTTTGCACCTTCGAAGTGCAAAGTACTTCTACAAGACTGGCAGAACCCTGATCTTGTACTCACTCTGGATGGTGAGCAGATAGAAGCAGTAGAGAAGTTCGTGTATCTAGGTAGCTGCATAAGTGCTGGTGGTGGGGTAAGTGATGAGATCAATGCATGTATAGTGAAAGCCAGAGTGGCTTATGCCAACATTGATGCTAAAACTAACACCTCTGTACTCCTCAAATCTCCGATCCTGATGAAAGGTCCTAAGATGCATCTAAAACAAATCACTTTAAAAATATAAAACACCAATTTTAAATGTCTATAAAGCATGTCTAAGGGTACTAGTATTTTATCATAGTTGCAGGTAGTCAACAGGGTTTCTATCGACTATCTCCAGCCATTAAGTATCTCAATATAGTCCACGCAATGTTGAGTCGCATTGCAACTCGGTTGACAGAATTCAATCAGGACCAAAAAGGACAAAACTAACATGACATTGATCACCACTCAGTGAACATATCACTTCCTTTTACATTCTATTCATTGTTTATGTAAATATTTCTATATGTTAGTCATTTTCAGTTTTATTTTTATTATTAAAGCACGTGAATGGACTCAGCTTTACGCTAGACATAATTAATTCTTGGACAATAGTACTAGCAGTGACCAACCCCTCGTAGAATATCGTTCTTCTTTTAATGGATAACCAAAACATGATCAAACATTTTCTATTCAAATATTATATATATATATATATATATATATATATATATATATATATATATATATATATATATATATCGTAACCGATATATTTGTATTTATGAAGATCTCCGGTACTCAATTCTTTTGTTGGACTTTTTCCTCTTCAATCTCAATAGAGAAGTCACATAAAGTTGTTTTGTTATACATTACGTGAAACCATTTTGTAGCTTTACACTATTATGACAAAAATCTTCCATATTCTCTTTTTGGTTACTTCTCTCTTGCTCCCGTGTCTATGTGTGTCCCGCTTTCCAAGAAAGTAATTTCTTTTTTGTGTCGCATACATCCCTCACTTATTGGTTTTGTAAAATTTCCCACACTGCTACCTATATTATGTTAATGGCAGTATGTAATTCCTTTTTTTGTGTATCTTCATTACCATATGATTTATTCATCTCTATCTTCTTTCCCTCTCTCTAGTCTCATTCATTGCGATTCTCCTAGTATGTTGGCACATGTATGTAAGTACTCTGTATATGTGTGTGTGTGTAATAAGGATGGGTTATATGATGACCATGGAACAGTCGTATACATTGGATTCTGTCCCCCTACTTTTTAGAAGGCAAAAATAGTCCTTAAAAAAACCCACCTGAAATCCCCAAATATTGACTTACTTCATCAGTATATAATGTATAAGGACGCTAATGTTTGTTGCTTGTTTATTATTAGGATTATGATTATAATTTTTTTTCAAGCATTATTATCACTTCACACTGTTTGTCATCATTTAACTGCACACAAACAGACAGATATTTCTTGTCCATCATTACTTTTTTGAAATGAGAGGGAGTACATTTTCTTTGCCGTCAAGAATAATAAACACATTATTGCTCAGGCAAAGATTGAAAAATCTTTCTGATTCTCTAACTGTAAATGTCTTAATAAGAATATGTATTATATGTGAGTAAAAATGACTGTCTTCATATGTGAGTTTAATAATAATTTCTCTGTTGTTGTTGTTGTTGTTGTTGTAATGATCAATATTCATAGTTTTCATCCAGTAATTAAACATTTCTGGTTTTAGCATAGGTTTTGAAATGATAAAAAAATTGTAGCTCAGGTGGATGATTTTGTTGCAGCCTCGTTCTCTGAACCGGATGGCTTGATCTTGAAGTCCTCATTGTTCTCCTGAATAACATCATTAGTACAAACAGAATTCCAATATTCCTCCGTACATACCCATTAACCCCCTTTTTCTTAAACAATATTTTAGTGCTTAACTTATCATCATCATTTGACAATGATGATTCGTCCTGTTAATTTCATCTCATTATAAACGTCCTACGGTAAACTGGGCCAACATACACTTGTATTAAACTCTACATTGATTATGAATAACTGACTGGCAAGGTAAGTATAATCAGTAATGTGACTATAAGACGAATCTTAAAGCTATTATTACCAAGGGATTACAGCATTAGGCTTTCAAACAATAGGTTACAGGTTCAGGAATCGTTCCATTCACTTCAGTTTAGGAAACAGCTGGATAGTGTACACTTTTTAGACTATAACTCCGCTTGTTGAATATTTATTCGATCGAATTCCACCAGCACTAAGGGATAGACTAGTGTAAAATTGGTTACTACCTCTCAACAATAGTCATCAGTCAACTCACACTTTCAGTTTTACAAGAGGTCGTTGGCCACCTGAGAATAGGTTATGGGTAACGCCCTTGACTATGATATGAGTTAGAGTTTTACGAGGTAGCATTATCTCCTTCAAAGCTGTAGATATACACCTTACCAAGGATAATTGCCAAACTAGTAACAGAGCTGCCTCCCAAATGCCTCCAAACACTTAATATCAAGACATACAAAATAGTCAGATATTAATTCTGAGTACACTCAACTTAGTTAAATTCATCTAAAGTATATCAGTAGTGTTTTCAAGAATTGAACGAAAATGACGGAACTGATGTATAAATTTTGGGAAATAAAACAAAGAAGTTATCAACAGTCTGCACTAAAAAAGACTCGAAAATTCTGGAGAAATATTCCGGACTAATAATAAGTAGCTTGAAGTAAATAGGGAAGTTAGATAGCCAGTAAAAATCATCTGTTCTGTCTTAGCACAGGATTTCAAGGTCTCGCAGCGAGCGCTTACCCTTTTTGCCACTACATAATGTTTCCTGATTTTCACTGGTTATCTAGCCAATGTCAGTCTGTGCCACAAGATTCAACAATCTCCGCAGACCAGTTATGCTGGTAATAAGTGTTATCTACGTCATGTCTTACCTCACTACTACAACCAAGTGTTAAACGACATCTGCTGTATCACTCGATACAACTCTTAATTTATAATTATACAATCTACCTTGTAGTATGTAACCCAATATGACAGAATTGGTTACTATTTGAAAATGTTGCTCGATAGCATAATACAAGGAGTGTTTAAAGTCTACGTGGTTATATTTTCCTTGCAGTTTATAAACTATCAGGTTACTATTATCTCCGTTTTTCTCCAGTTTTTTTTAAGTGCTGCCCGAATAAACGACGTTTGTTAAGACAGACATTCTAGACTGTACATATTAGGCCAATTAACAACATTGAGCCGCTATATTACGTAAATTATACGTTTGAGCAGATAAAAATGGTGGTCTAGCTTTAATCGACTCATGAATTCAATTATTATATAAATGAAATTCTTCAGAACAATATATCATTTATTAACTGATAAGGAGAATTACGTATATCGTTTCACTCACCATCGCATTCAAGAACGTAATCAGTTAGCTGTTAATTTGATGACTGATCGTTTAACTTAGTTCAATAATGAGAACATGATACTGGTTGTCTACTAGCTATCGATTATCGTACAAGTCAAGTGAGTTAGGGATAAAAAAAAGTCAATCTATATAATTGTAGAGTAATTGGAAAAGTCCATCTCAGTTATCAGTGATGATGTGATCACTGAAACCTAGTATATTGAAAGTGGATTTCCAAAATGCATTATTAGAGACCATGATTTATAATTTTAATAAAACGAATGAAACAGTGACAAGCCCTTGATATTGGATAAGGATCGTGCTGTATCAAAAAATGCATGAGTCCTAGATATTTGATCTAGTAGGTTTCGACTCAGTGGTTTAAACACAGTGTATTTTTCGATTAACAAGGTTGTAGTTTTTTGATAGAGTGCAGGACCAATCAAAACAAATTTCTCAAGAGATCCACATTAGAAGAAAGCTTTTGTATTGTTCACTGGTTTTCAATATTTCTCAAAATGTCATTTCGAGACGAATAATTAGAGATTTGTCATTATTGGCTAAGCTAACTAATCATTATAGCTAAATAAAATTTCGTTGAAGCATTAAATAAAGTTGAGCGGATAAATGTTTCTCTTCAAAGAAATATTTTAATACAAAATTTATCACTCAAGTTTACGACTTCAAGAAGCTTAAATGATTTATGAACTTTGCTAGTGTAAATGAGACAATAGAGTTCATCCGAAATACTTGCCGTAATAATCAGCATTTCGAACAATCCAATTACACAATGATTGTTCGAAGCACTTCACTTTCTAAAAACCAAGTAAAGTGTTAAGTAATCCATCAAATCGATTGTTTTACCTGCTTTTTTTATTTTTCAAGTTCATTCTCACTTTGTTTAATTACATAAATTATTCAAAGATTCAATTTTGAAGGAAATTAGGACGACAATGTAACATTTAATGACAACCCTTGGGTAAAAATCTACAGTTTGCGTAAAGAAGCTTCCCGTTTCCTAATTCTCGCGCTAAACCTAAAAAATTTAGCTATATAACTAAAACTCGAATATATATTGACTTACTAATGTTTGCAACGGCACTTAATTTAGATCAGACTTTTATTCGAAATGAACCTGTGAAAGTTCTTATATTATCTCCTAATATTATTTTGTCGTTATCTGTTGGAAAAAGGAAGAACGACCAGTTTACGGGGAAACGTACAATAAAGGATATTTGAATAAGACTAGTGCTGTTTAATCCAATACTATATTTTCCATAGCCCCAAGCAGTTATCTCTTGGACTCTGCGAGCAAGCCCCTTAGTAGCCAGTACCACTGTCACTCCACACTTTTCTACAGAAACCTCAAGAAGTATTGCTGGGAGGTAACAGTCACTCACACAACAACACTCGAGAACCCTTCGTTCTCTTGATAATATTCTTGCTGTCTATTCTATAAAAGAATAAATTAGGTGCTACGTCTGAAGAATGTGTTTTGAGTTTTATGGTTGGAACAATGATGCTCATAATCACACCAAGTCAGTTATGAAGAAACGCAAGAACTTGCACAAATACACAGGCAAAAATTGTCACACTTTAAAATCCACGCAGCGACAGAAAAATAATAATAGTAACAAACCCAACATCACAGTTCGAAAAGAATAGGTGAGGGTTTAAAAAAGTATAATATCATAATGAACTTAAAGGTTCGACAGAATTTGTGAACCCATATCGATTAAACAGATTGTAAGGCCTATGCCTTAGAAATTCTTGAAACAAAAAGAAGAAAACGATGTACTCATATGATCTTGGAAACACTTTACCAAATAAATTATTCAAGGAACGTACTTTACTCTGGATTATGATAAAGAAGATTGTGGTGATAAGAATGATAGTAATAAGAATATTAATAACCATTAAGCAAAACAACTTTGTATTTTTTCACTACTAAACATCTATTTAGAAAAAGAAAACTCGATAACATATCATATAAAGTTCATTGTATCGCAATTTATAAGGCAACAATTTAGGAAGAAGTTACATAAAGCAAAAGGGCAATAGACAATGAAATGAAAATTAAAACAGTAATGAAAATAACTGCTGTTACCTCATTTTGTATAGAGGTTTTAGAAAATAAAAATGCTATTTAATCCCATTATTGCACATATTTGAATAATTTCCTAAAAAATATATTCATTAATATATATTGCTTCAATTGATTCAATCCTTTAAAAAAATTCAACCAATAGAAAATGAGAAAGAAATACAATCAGGTCAACACATGCTTAAACTGGAAGTTAATTGGTCAATAGTATTATATAGTTTAAAATGTTTTGATTGGTTAACAAATGATATATCATGATTACACACAAAAACGATGTGATATCATGTTGGAAAATTATGATAACCGAACAAGTATAATAATATTATTGTTTATTCATTCGATTTAATAGACAAATTACGCCAGTAAAATGTTTGATGTATATTGTAGAGTAAAAGAAGTGTTGAAAGCAATTATTAATAAATAATGATCTATCAAAAAAAAACGATGAAAATAATATGTAGAAAGTAACTGTATAAGGGTTTTTTAAAAAAAGTGCCTACTTATGTATAAAATTCATTTTAATTTTTCCATTAAGATTAAAGCATGAAAGCAACTTCAAGAGACGAAAAATTTTTTATTTTGTAATAAACCTCTTCTGTAAATATAACAGATGTATTATTGGAGAAAGTGAACGAGAACCGGGACATCATTAGCTACATACACAAGAATCATTAGAAAAAACAAACTGGAAAAGAGTAAAGAATCGCAATAATGTAAATTAGTTACTTGCGCTCGATAATGGAGATGAGAAACTAGTTGAAGATGATGATGATGAAGAATAATTTGTAGAATCTGAAGATAGATCTGATTTCCCTGTAAAGGATGAAGACATATTATAATGATGCTGGTCACTAACATTACCTTGTAATGTTAGTAATAAAGGCAAATAAATTGTATTATGTAAATGATTCTCATCATCATCATCATACATTTTAGTGGATAATTTCATTAACCTGGTTGCATATTGTTCTTCGGTAACAACAGCATGATTGCTTCTGCTACTAATATCGTTGTGATTAGAGGTAACCCTAAGATCACCATCAGTGTTTTTTAAATGTACTAAAGATTTTGCCGAAGACAATGATGGTGATGGTTGTATTAGTGTTTGTTGTGAACACGATGCATAGGGACAACATATCGGCTTTTTCTCAATCTTATCCTCCTCACCATCATTGAATAAAACTTTCCTATAACATGGACTGGATAAAGTTGTTGCTAACATCTCAGAAGATAATTTATGATCATAAGAAGGACAGTAGAAGATATCTGATGATTGATGCTGTTGGCGTCTCGATTGTTGTCGAT